GCATTCATTCAAATGTAACTGAGCTTGAAAGGACTGAATTGAATTGATGTAGCAAGATGATGTTTCCAGCCACCTACAGAAATGGAGGGATTGTGCACCAAATTCAACTCATTTGTAGAAAAACCAAGACATTTATTTTAGCTTTGCATAACTAATTTTGTGTCTGTATATTTTCAGACATTGTATAGCTATACTACACGTCAAGGTTGCTCGAGGAGAATTAAATGAAAATAAAAACCTGCAATTTGTTGAGCTATTATTAAATATTTTACAAACGAGGGCACCAGAACTCACTGTGGGCCAGCAGTTGCCACGTGGCTTATAGCTGGCAGAGCCTGTTTGCTACCTGAGCTCTGTGACTCCAAGCACAGTGCTCTCTTCTATGTTTGCTTAATTCAGTGATAAACATCATTGCAGTGAGTGCAATATCGTATTTATGTTCCTGACCAGGCAGTGCCTTACACATCCATGGAGTCCAATCAACTATTTGTCGAATTTAATCAAATAACATAGCCTTGCCGTCCTTAAGTAGCCTGCCATCTGTCCGGTTTGGGGGATATAATTAAAAATGAAATCTGCCAACCCATGAAACCTCTCCTTAAAGGTAGAGGAGAGAAAGCCCAGTTTTATTATTGAATAAGCACTAACACAGGCTGCAATGCACATCACTGGCAATCTGTTAAAGAGATCACAGAGGCAGAAAATACCTCCCTCTTTTATATCACCACTTTCCATACGTGTTCTCAAAATAGAAATAACTAGTCCTCAAGTAAGAAGACTTGACAGCACCACTTGTTAAATATAGTTTATCCTAAATTCACCTGGTAACTGGGGTGGCCATCTGTGGGAGCTGATTGCCTTTATCCAAAGGAAAATTAAAACTTCTCATATTTCTGTGACAAGTAGGTAAGTTTACAACTTGGAGCCAGATGTCTAAACTCCCACCCTCCATGGAGAAGGGGAGATGGAGGCTCTGTCTTCCTTGATGTTTACGTTACTTCAAGGAGACAGCCCTCAAGGAAAACATTCTTTTAGGTTGTAGAACTGGTGAGAAGCTTATTTGGCTTTTAAAAGTATTTATATACATCTCAAACGGAAAGGGAAAGAATTTGCAATTCCAAGTCTTGTAAAGGAAATGCTCTAAGAAAAGGGAGGCGAACAGGATCCCTTCCGACCTCCCTTTTTATAGATTCGTGTTTGCACTTTCACTAGAGAGATAGGAAACCCGATTAAATTAGGACGGAGCAATGCCTGCTCCAGTGCGCAGGGGTGAAAGAAAGGGTATAAGATATCCCCTCCTGCAGAAGGAAACCAGCAGGTGAACATCTCAGAATTCGGCGTGAGAAATCAAGGCAAGGGAAGGTAGACTCTGCCTCTGATATTACTTTCTGTCATCAAGGTTTTGGGAAATGGGCTGAACATGGTGTGAACTTTAAAATGTCCAGTTTGGAATCATGTCTAGTTCAGAATAGGCCTGATGCCCAGTTACCAGTGGTGTACTAGTCATGGTGATGTTAATAAAAACCCTCCAGTCTAGATCATTCTGTGTCTTCTTCAAGCTCTGATAAGACTCCAAAGGGCATGGCTGTTGAAAAGAAAGGTGCTGGCATTTGTCCCAAGCCAGGCATGTCCCATCACAATTTAATCATGTTGATGTACTCATTAAAATTGAAAAAGAGCTAGCCATTAACTTCTGCATAACTTCTCTAGCACTGGCTGAATTATCTCAACTTTCTGACCTTCATGCTTAACCACCTAATATTAACAAATGAGAATAATTCATTAAGAAGATAACTGAAATGAAAAATATAAGTTAGAAATGAAAAAGATGATCAAGTGAATGTGGGACTTTAGAAAATTCAAAGTTGAAGAGGGACTAGAAAGTAAAATATTTTTTAAAATTATACTATTTTGTTGTTTTATTTACCTGTTCTAAAAGAAGCATACATTTTTTAAAAATCAGAAAATCATAAAATTTTTAGAAAAAGGAAAAAATGTATTACTCCAATACACAAAAGCAAGTACCATTAATATTTCTAAAGTACCTCCTTCAAGCATTTTCTCTATTACTCCATTACATGCATAGTTATGCTTCTACCATTTATATACTCTTATTTACTATTATAATGTAAGTGTTTTCAACACCATAAAAATTCCTTCTAATAGAAGAAAATACCCAGGAATCCAACTTACAAGGGATGTGAAGGACCTCTTCAAGGAGAACTAAAAACCACTGCTCAATGAAATAAAAGAGGACACAAACAAATGGAAGAATATTCCATGCTCATGGATAGGAAGAATGAATCAATATCATGAAAAAATATAGGAAGAATGAACTAATATCGTGAAACAAATGGAAGAACATTCCATGCTCATGGATAGGAAGAATGAATCAATATCATGAAAAAAGGTAATTTATAGATTCAATGCCACTCCCATTAAGCTACCAATAACTTTCTTCACAGAATAGGAAAAAACTACTTTAAAGTTCATACGGAACCAAAAAAGAGCATGCATTGCCAAGACAATCCCAAACCAAAAGAACAAAACTGGAGGCATCACGCTACCTGACTTCAAACTACACTACAAGGCTACAGAAACCAAAACAGCATGGTACTGGTACCAAAACAGATATATAGACCAATGGAACAGAACAGAGCCCTCAGACATAATACCACACATCTACAGCCATCTGATCTTTGACAAACCTGACAAAAACAAGAAATGGGGAAAGGATTCCCTATTTAATAAATGGTGCTGGGAAAACTGGCTAGCTATATGTAGAAAGCTGAAACTGGATCCCTTCCTTACACCTTATACAAAAATTAATTCAAGATGGATTAGAGACTTAAATGTTAGACCTAAAACCGTAAAAACCCTAGAAGAAAACCTAGGCAATACCATTCAGGACATAGGCATGGGCAAGGACTTCATGTCTGAAACACCAAAAACAATGGCAACAAAAGCCAAAATTGACAAATGGGATCTAATTAAACTAAAGAGCTTCTGCACAGCAAAAGAAACTACCATCAGAGTGAACAGGCAACCTACAGAATGGGAGAAAATTTTTGCAATCTACTCATCTGACAAAGGGCTAATATCCAGAACCTGCAAATAACTCAAACACATTTACAAGAAAAAAACAACCCCATCAAAAAGCGGGCAAAGGATATGAACAGACATTTCTCAAAAGAAGACATTTATGCAGCCAACAGACACATGAAAAAATGCTCATCATCACTAGCCATCAGAAAAATACAAATCAAAACCATAATGAGATACCATCTCACACCAGTTAGAATGGAGATCATTAAAAAGTCAGGAAACAACAGGTGCTGGAGAGGATGTGGAGAAACAGGAACACTTTTACACTGTTGGTGGGACCGTAAACTAGTTTAACCATTGTGGAAGACAGTGTGGTGATTCCTCAAGGATCTAGAACTAGAAATACCATTTGACCCAGCCATCCCATTACTGGGTATATACCCAAAGGATTATAAATCATGCTACTATAAAGACACATGCACACGTGTGTTTATTGTGGCACTACTCAAAATAGCAAAGACTTGGAACCAACCCAAATGTCCATCAGTGACAGACTGGATTAAGAAAATGTGGCACATATACATCATGGAATACTATGCAGCCATAGAAAAGGATGAGTTCATGTGCTTTGTAGGGACATGGATGTGGCCAGAAACCATCATTCTGAGCAAACTATCTCAAGAACAGAAAACCAAACAATGCATGTTCTCACTCATAGGTGGGGATTGAACAACGAGAACACTTGGACACAGGAAGGGGAACATCACACACCGGGGCCTGTTGTGGGGTGGGGGAGGGGAGAGGGATAGCATTAGGAGATACACATAATGTAAATGATGAGTTAATGGGTGCAGTACACCAATATGGCACATGTATACATATGTAACAAACCTGCATGTTGTGCACATGTACCCTAGAACTTAAAGTATAATTTAAAAAATAAAAATAAATGGAAACGACTATGTTAAAAAAAATTCGCTAGTGTATTAGTTATCTATTGCTATGTAATAAATTACCCACACATTAGAAGCCTACCAGTAAATAGATGTTTATTATCTCAATGAGTTTCTTAAATTTGGGAATCTGAGACAGGCTTAGCTGGGTGTTTCTAGTGCAAAGTGTTAAGAGGTTGCAGTTGAGATGTTGCCTACAGCTGCAGTCACCTTGAAGTTTCACTAGGACTGGAGTGCCTGTTTCCAAAATGGGTCACTCCAGTGGCTGTTGGCAGGAGGCCTCAGTTCCTCACCACGTGGACCTCTCCAAAGGGCTGCTTGAGCATCCTCACAACATAGCACCTACTTCCATCAGAGCAGGTGATCTAGGAGAGACCAAGGGTAAAGACACAGTGTCTTTTATTGCCTAGCCTCATAAGTCACACACAATCATTTCTGCAGCCTGCTGATGACACAGGCCAGCCATATTTAGTGTGGAAGGTGACTACACAAAGGCATGAACCAGGAGTCTAGAACAACACTAGAGGCTATCTTGCAGAGTAGCTACCACAATGGGAATTTCTAATGGCTGCATGCATCTTATCACATAAATCTCTATAACTGTATTGACTATTCATGCACGGTTGGATGTTATTTCTAAATTTCCTTATTACAAACGACCGTCTAATAAGGACCTGTGTATATTAAGCTTTTCATCAATAGTTCAGATCACTTTTTTAGAAAATAATCTCAGAAGTGGGATTGTTGAGTTCCAAAAAATCTTAATTTCCTTTTTAAGTAAGTTGGCTTCATAAAGCAAATTAGCATTTTATATTATTTCAATGAACATATGCATTTCATGTATTTGTGATAAATACCTTGAAATGTCTATGCAATGGTTCATAACTGCATGTTTATCTTTCATTTAATGAATTCTATATTCAATATATTTTAGGTAGCTATATTATATATGTAACATTTTGATACTTATGGCATGTGCATTGTTATTTCACCATTTTATAGATCCTCCTGAGTTTGTTTGTTGCTGTTATTTTGGACAACTTAGAACTTGATGAAGACCTAAAGAAGCTTAAACAAGTAAGTAACATATGGGAGTTTTAAAAAAAAAAAAAAAGAAAAAAAAAAAAAACGGGGCAAACCATTTGCTTATAGGCAATATTAAAAGTTTGAGCTTCAAAGTAAAAATAAAATTTAATAAGTTAAGGCTATCCAAGGTGGTAAAATGGTGTTATGTTTAACTTCTATCTAATACTAACAAGGGAAACGTTCTGTTACTCTGTAAATATCCTAGGAATTGTTTTATTATTTTTGAATAACAGTAAGATGGGCAGAGTATGGTCAATTGGATTTGGAGACTGTTCTCCTTCTGCTATTAAATGAAGGTTGTTTGGAAATGAGATACCTCAAGGCCATATTGCCATTTTGCATAATTATATGTAATACCCTTTATCATCATCATAAAAACATTACAATCAACCTGCCTGGTCTCTAGACACTAAAGGAGAATTTAGTCTGGGTGCCCATAGTGAGTATAAGAAACAGAGGAGAATAAATGATGAAATGTGGGCCCAGTTATGTATGAAAACAGACAGGATGTCATCATGGTGAAAAGTATACCCCAAAAAATGAAACTAGAAATAGGCGAATGCTATGTTCTTAATGGCAGGAGGATTACAGGTATAGTCAATCATTCCCATAGTTTCTGTGGCATGGAGGATATTTGGCTTGAATATTTGGCTCTGTCAAAGAGTACAGACCCTTTGAGAAGAAGAGCTCGCAAGAGAGTGGGACAATGGGTGGAATGTTCTTGTATCACCCTCCCCAACACTGAGAGAATAGTTGAGATGTTAACTACCAAACTCTACCCAACTGTTAGAATGTTGATAGAACCACAGCTGTTATAACGTTGACAGAACCATGGCTCTTAAACTTTCTATTCGGAATTATAAGCAGGCCCTCCATGTTCAGAATTTTCCAAAGCTCTCTATTTTTAACAAAGCAAAAAGTATAACCTATTTAAGTTTTTTTTAATCTATCTCATGATCAGGTTAGGCATTTCATTGTATCACTCTTATCTTCAAAGCCTATGCTTTTAACAGAGGCTATCAATAAGGGAAAAAAATAAAACATTGTTACGAAGATTCCCACTCGGAGCATACCAAGAAAGGTTTTGAGTTCTTTACCATCCTACAGCTACCCAGGCAAATGGGTATCTTCCCGGCTCTGCTGGAGATGATTTCTTCCATGTCTTTTCACTCTGTGGCAGCAGTGATAGGTTCTTCAAATAAGAGTTGGGACATCCCTTTATGCCATCAATGAAAGTACTTTGTGTGGCTTCTAGTTGCAGAAAAAATATCTAATAGGTGAGTTCAAAATTGTAATTAGACATGACCAATAAAATCTGCTGCTGTAGAACCACTTTAGTCCATGCTTTACAAATCTGGTATTTAGCTGTAGCCTTTCCTTCATGCCGTGTTTATTATGCACAGATATGTACTATCCTCAGAGAGTACGTTACAATATGTATTCTATAGATAAAATTTAAAATATCCGATTTATTTCTAGCTAGTGCTACCGCCAGGTTCCATATGCTTTTAAATAACCATATAACTCCGGCCCGCATTTGTAAAATAATTTTTCTGCTGGAAAGCAACAAAATAAATGTGTATGTAGCAATTTTTTCAGGATTATGAATTCAAACCTACGGGTATTTTGCAGTGTTAATTTTTTCAACATTTTAACTTATTTTTATATACACGTAGATGCGTAGCCTACTTACATTTGTTGTCATCTATATATCTAATGGTCACAATAGGCATTTCATATCTGACCCGAAGTAAAAAAACCAACAATAATTCTTCCTGGACTATAAAGTTTTCATAAACTATATGGCTCTTCACTTTGAGTAAATGTCATTATTTATAAAAGTGGCTTTTAATCACTTGCTAGATATTAGTGAAGCTTTGTGTTTCTGGAAAGTCTGTATATCAGATTGGGTTATCCAATTGCACTAGCCTACAATTTGGACCATATACTCTGGGTATTTGGGCATTGAAAACTCCAATCATAACACAGCAATTCCGTTTTTGTTAGTACTTTTTACACTGTTCTTTATTCATGGTTGGACTGAAACTACGTAGCTATTAAATTCTTCCATTAATTTCATACTTGAAACTCATTGAACCTGAAATTCATTAGAGCAAATATTATTAAACTAAGTTAAAGTGTTCCTGGTTAACTTTCTCTCATTGTTGTATGATTATGTTTTGTGTTTTCACTAGTTTTTAACAGCTGTGTCATTTTTTATGCCCCTGATTTTTCTTATTTTCAGTGATCTTGACCTTTAAGGTAGGGCTCATTTGCATATTTTTAAGAACACACACATTCACGTGAGTGCACTTTCATATATACGCATAGTAATGTGGATACCTCAAACTTTAGACTGTCTTTTACAGATTCTTTTAAAAAACAGTAAAATTGTTACCCTAAATATTTGTTTCAGTTGTCCATGTACAAATCCAGTCCTTAAGATTTAAACTTACATACTCTATTTTTACTATTCCCAGATAGAGAGTAGAGTGGAGGAAATGTTCAAAAAAAGTGTTTGATTTTCTTAATGTTTCACGTTTCAGAAAGCCCTATGCATTCCAAATACCATCTTTGCTCCGTTCAAACTTTTTGCTTCTTTTACCATTTCTGCCAATCTGTAGATTCTCATAGCTATGGTGACATTGGTTGAATCCTTGCTCAGTATCAAGTGTTTTATGTTTTCACCTATTTTTCAAAACAACCCATTCAATGCAGGTATTATTATTATTATGTGCATCTTACAGATGAGGAAACTAAGACACAGAGAGGTTAAGTAACTTGCTCAACGTTGCACAGCCAACAAATGTCAGAGCTAGAATTTGAACCTAGGCCGTTTGGACCAAAAGCCCACACTCTTAACCTCTAAACTGTATTGATTCAAACTAAAACTATATAAAGGCCAAACACGAGTCATGCATACTGTTGAGATTCATAGGACTATGAATTATTTGTTTATAAATAATGATGTTGTAGATAACAAAGGCATCATCATATTCACCAAGTAACTGTTACAATGAAGGACAGTTTCTGAGGAATAGCAGTAAATGCAGCAACCCAGTCATTAAAACTATCCAGATTAGTTCTTTGTTTCCTCTCAGAACCCAGAGGATCGAATCAGAGCCATGGGAGTTACAACCTTGCTGCATGATGGCAAACACCACTCAAGGTGCCATTTCTCAATGATCTTCTTGGAATGATGATCCTCCTCAGACACCTACATAACAGGCTTAGCATAGCAACATTTTAGTGACTTTAATGTCTTTTAGTATCGATATGTTTTTAACTGTGTTAATATATAAAAGTTGGTTCATAGATTTTTTTCAATAATAATAAAAGCCAGTGGCAGTTACCTCTAAAATGGGGGTATTGCCCAGGTGCAGTGGCTCACGCCTGTAATCCCAGCACTTTGGGAGGCCGAGGTGGGCAGATCACCAGGTGAGGAGATCGAGACCATCCTTGCTAACACAGTGAAACCCCATCTCTACTAAAAATTCAAAAAACAAAAAAATTAGCCAGGCGTGGTGGTGGCGCCTGTAGTCCCAGCTACTCGGGAGGCTGAGGCAGGAGAATGGCGCGAACCCAGGAGGCAGAGCTTGCAGTGAGTCGAGATCACGCCACTGCACTCCAGCCTGGGTGACAGAGCGAGACTCCATCTCAAATAATAACAATAATAATAAATGAGGTTGTTAACATGCAGCACTCAGTAGGGCTCAACAGAGGAAGAGGAAGCAGCCCTCGTGTTGGGGAGAGGAGAGGCTGCCCTTAAGCTAAAGGTGTGAGATGGTGGTAGAAAGTGAAAAGGTACTAGAGAAGAAATTATAATGGAAAAACACCAGATATGAAATAAAGAGTATGAATATAACACAGGGATAAAGGTGCAGGAATGTGGCCAAATCCAGAGTTAAGAATGTGAGTACATCAGTGGCCAAAAGTCAAAGCCCACCATGGCCTTCCCCTCAGAAGCTCCCTGAGGGCAGGCATGGGCTGCATGATGGATTGTCGGTGGGCCTGTGTTCTCCTGAAGGAGAAGCACGGCACTGTATGTCTTTTCCCATTATTTTTCTGTGCAACCTCTGTGTGCATCAGAGGTAGTTTCTAGCCAAGGACTGCTGAGCTCTAGGGGTCCTCAGGAAAAGCTATGGTGTCATTTTTAATACTTCAGAAAGCTGGAAGAGAATTGTGCATTTACCTAATATAAGCCCGCACCTGCTAAATAAAATGTCAAGTTTAATACTTTTAGCTGGAAATCTGAAAATTCTAAGTGGCAGCACGGTTTCCTTAATACTATAGTTCTGCAGTGTTTTCATATATACTTTCCTTTAAGCAAATTTGTTTAAAGCTACAATGAATTTCTTATTGCTTAATCAAGGCATCTTGGCAGGAAAAATGTTTAGGTTTTAGAATCCAGGGGAGAAAATAAAAGGGCTTTTTGGACACAAATTTTGAGAGGCTCTTATGTGTTTATTCCCATCACCCCCTCTCCAAGATATCACCAGTGTGTGCCATGATGGTCACCTCTATGGCTTTTCCTTTGTCACTTCTCGCAATTGTGTTCCAAAAACTCACATCAATCATGTAACCATATGAAATTCCTTTATTGCCTTCCCTGTGTGTTATATATAGGACACAACTGTTTTCTAATAGCAATAGGGCAGCGTAATCTTTTCATAGCTGCCATAATTTACATGACCCCCATATTGAATTACATAGAAACCATATTTCTCTTTTCAGCATCCCCAAAAGCCAATACAGAGACCTGGGAAAAAATATATATATATGTGTGTGTGTGTATATATATTATTACATATATGTAATATATGTAACATATATGTATATATCATACATTAAATACAAAAAATGTTATAATTTTGTATTACATATATGTAATAACTATACATATATGTATATATTAAATATAAAATTATGTATAAGTAATACATGACATAAATTATATAATGTGTGCTATATATGCATAACATAAAAATTAT